GAAAACACTCACCCGAAATGATTAATTTGGGAGCAATATACCCAATAAGCTAAACAAATTTTACAAAAAAAAGAACATTTTCTTTTTTACAAAGCTGACGATTTTTAATGATAATAAATTATAAAAGGAAGAAAAACAAATCTGTGAGCATTTCTTCGCATACGCTCAATGGCCAGTAAGCTTTTCTCCGCATCCACCGGTTTCGCGGCGAGTTTTTCTCTGGGATTCTGAGGCATAAGTTCAGTCCACGAACATCTCAAACACCCAGGCTGCAACGTGTTCACGCCACAAAGCGGCAAAGCTTGCAGCCACAGCAACGTCGTCCTAGCCTTGCTTGTGCCGCGACAAACTGTATCACGATTGAGACAAGGGACGTCATGATTTCACTGGATGTGACAATCTCTGAGTGGGCCGTTTAGAACGAAAACTACAGCTGTCTGTTCAAAATACGAACGTGTGATTGTCATTTACAGATATTGTATCATATTCAACCTACTTCTGAACATAACAGGTATATTTCAGAAGTTTTGTGCACTTCTGCCTTTTTGTTTCCTCAGGAAAAACAACGAACCTTGCTGAACACTGAAAACCAGTCTGTACAAGTCATTTCCGGTAGATTTTTAGGGAAGTTTTTGTCACTCCTCACTGAAGACAAAGTGAACACTTTCTCTGGATTGCCAGCCTTAGATATTCTCGATGCACTGGTTACATCTTATTAAGAGATGCGCAAGCAACCAAACACCACTTGTCAGCAAAGGATAGGGTAGTGATGAAGCTGAAGAACATGTTTGACTGTTCACTGACGACCAGCCACTTGTATATTATACCAAGCAATTGGGATTTTCTTTGAAACACTGGCATCAGTAGTGACTCTACCATCCAAAGAGGAAACCTTCCAGAACATGCTAAGCACTTTAAGGATTTTTACACTTACGGCTTGTGCTGGACTGTATGGAAATGGCAGTCTTACAGCCAAATGTTTGAAGTGTGCACTGAGGTTGTATTCCTTCTACAAGAAAGGCTTTTCATGTAAGTGCATGATTTCTGTTATGCAAGAAGGTATCATTGCACATATTAACAAAGAGTATGGGGGCTGAGCCTCTGCAAGACAATGTTCAAGCAGAGTGGGCTGCTTGATATGCTTGAGCCAGTGAGGGATGCAGTCATGGTAGACAATGGCTTTGTAATTAACAGTATTGGAAGCAAAACCAGCTTTCCAAAATGGGGCTTTTCGGAGACGCATAGGATTGCAGCTTTGAGGGCTCATATGAAGCAAGCCATTCAGAGATTGGAATATTTTCAGAACCTTGTCGAGCAGGATTGCATGCAGCATGTTGTGCATGATGGATGATGATAGTTAAAGGAGTGATTAGCCTCTCGACTCTTATTTTCGCAGACAAGTTTTTGTAAGGGCCATGTCTGTAGCCTTGGATGAAAAATCCAGTGTTGTTGCAGAGACAGTGTTGAAATGTGTGCATAATCTTAAAGGGGCCCACCAACACTTTTTTGACCGGTTTGAAGTTGGCGCTGAAATGGAGCTCCATGAAAGCAGGAACACCGAGGAAACAAATTATTACAGAAATTCGCAATATTTTGTGAGTTATTAGAAAACTAAATATTGTAGAAAACAACTTTAAATAAGCAAAACATTGCGCTTCATGACGTAAAATGAAACAGTTTAGCAATTGGAGCAAAGCGGTTGGCCAATGGGAGCAAAGCATCGGCCCGGGCGATTGGAGCAAAGCGTCGGCCCAGTCGGCTCGTCGGCCATTAGGCCTAGCTGCAACCATCGTAGCTTTGGGATCGGGTTGCAATCATTGATGAATTTACCGGGCTTATCGGATTTTGAGTGCGGAGCTGGGCATCGCGCCGCACGAGGACACTCCACGCATGCGCCGCGACGCGTCTCTGCCTCAGTACGCTTCGACTGCCGCGGAAGACTCGTCTCCCGCAACTCCGCCACTGGAGCCACATCGGCGAGTAGGAGCTATAAACTGGTGAGCGGTCCCGTTTGGCAAAAGCTGGATCCCGTCGCCGCACTTCACTCGAACAGTGAAAAGTCTGTCACAGCATTAAAAGAAAATAAGGGTTCCCCTGGCTCCTCTTACTGCTTTTAGTTGACCGGGACCGGGGGCACACAAGTGAAAATACGATGCGCGTTCACTACACGGATCACTTGTCTGCTCGCGATGGTACGTCGCGGACGCCGCTGGGAGGCGCGCATGAGCGACAAGGCGTTGCTTTCGCCCTTTTTGAACTTTACTTTGCAACTTTATAAGCTCTATAAAAATGACTTGTTAGAGAAATAATGACGGTTAACGTGTGATATACTTTATTTCGCTTCAAAATTCCTGGGACGGCTCTTGCCAATCACGAAACCCAGAGAATGTGACGTATTGTAAAAGGGAGCGCCGTTATGTGCGCGCATTCGGCACCTTGCGGCGCCACCGTCGGAGGAGGTGTTTCCGAGTTGTCAAATTAAAATATGATGCGCTAATATTTTCAAACTCTTTCGTTGTCCACTGGGTTTCCGGGACCACTAGCGTGTAGAAACCGCAAAAAAAAGTCGACGCTCAAGTACTGTTGGAGGGCCCCTTTAAAACGACTCCCTAGACAATAAATGTATCCTTTGGTTCAAAAGAACGCTTGAAGATTTATGTACGTACATACACTATATGCAGAACACAAAGCTTGAAGGTGTAGAGTCGTCGGATCATTACCGGCTCACAGCTAGTGCCACCTGGCCTGAAGAAAATGGACCTGTTAGGTCGGGACCAGGACAGAGGCAGAAGAAAAAAGAAAGGATGGAGCCAGGACATAGGGACGGTCATGAGGTATATTAATAAAAGATTGTTAATCGGTTGAAATCCGGCTTTGGAGTACATGCATCACGACGCCTGAACCGAGGCCAAGACACCACAAAATCTGGCAACAAGGATTTCGACAAATTGAGCCCTACGCAAGGCATTCAGGAACCCGCAGCTCTACGCCAAAGAAAGCAAGCTAACACAGAAGCAAAAGAGACTTGCTCCACAAGGGAAACGTCGGCAACGTCAAGTGAGCGCGATGGACAACTTCTACCCACCCTGCCACCGTTCAACCCGGATTCAGACGCAACGTCACTCGCGCAGAGGTGGACGAAATGGCATGCGTGTTTTGAGAACGTTCTACTGGCTGCAAACGTGAAAGATGCTGCCCACAAGTGCGTGATGCTGCTCCACTTTGCCAGTGAGGTGGTGTATGATAACTTTACCACACTATCTCACACGGGTACTGACTATGAAATGGTAGTCGCTCGTCTGACAGACATTTCACTCCCAAAAAGACTGCGGTGTACGAGCACCACATTTTTTGTCAAGTGCAACAAGATAGATGCAGAAGAAACAGACCAGTTTCAGCTAAAATTGCGAAGACTGGCCGCAATGTGCGAATTCACGAACGCCGGGCGAGAGCTTGTCTCAAGTCTTGCCCGGCGTTCGTGCAATATCCGAGAGGCCGACATCACGCTGGACAAACTCATGAGCATCAGTCATAACATCAAGAACGCTGAGCGTCAAGCTGCTAGCATAAAACAGCCACGACAATGGTACCAGTTCAGAAGCTGTGAACCAAGAAATCAAAATGCAGCAGCATTGCCCCAAAGAATTTCTCCAAGCACAAGAAAGCAGACAAGTGTTTGTGCTGTGGTAAAGTTTGACCCCACAAGAGTTGGAAGACCAGCTGCCCAGCCTGGGGAGCCAAGTGCCAAAAAAAAAATCACTTTGCCAAGATGTGCAGAGGTAGTGCAGCGCCCTAAGAAACCGTAAGCTGTCTGGGCTCGTCAACCACACCCAGACAGAACTAGTACATGTACCTATATGAGTCAAACGGGACTGGCGTTCATGAATGTAAGAATGTAAGAGCCGGGGAAAACGTATCAATGAGGTTCTACTGTAACTTGTTTTTCGGTAATGTGTACAGTTTTGTAGGTACAGGGTTTTAAAGTTCCATTTCGGTGACACGGCCAGACCAAAGCTCAAGCAGCTTGAGTAAGTCAGCTCATCGAGAGCATGACATCTTTGTCTTGTGCTCCCACAATATGCACGACTAAGAAGCCAGCTCAGTTTCACGAGGGCTTTCAAAACAAAAGGTAAGCTGTGCATTTCTTAAATTTCTTTTATCGCTCCACTTTTTATATAAGCACCAAATGTAGTAAATGAATGTTAGTGTGTATTTATAAAATTGCCGGAGGAAAAGCGAATTTGAGTGCTATGAGTATGTAATTAGACAAGTTTTCCATTCTTCAACACTTCTCCATATGTGTTCCGGACTTGTGTACTATGCATAGTACATAAGTGCAGAACACGTACGGAAACGTGTTGGAGTAAACGAGACTCGTGCAATATCAAGTCAGCTCTCCATACCAAGCCGCAGAAGCTCTTACTAACATGCACACAAACGCACCATTGATCTAACTTTGTGCGCTTGTGATAGCATCTGTATTCCATGCTCAAAAAATCAAAAAGTCAAATTTGGGGGTTTTACGTGCCAAACCTACGACGGGCATCTGGCACGCCCCAGCGGAGGACTGAGGATTAATTTAGACCACCTGGGGATCTTTTGACGTGCAACCGAAAGCTCGGTTACACGGCGCCTCCTCCACAATAAGCCTCCGTCATATTGCGGGCACCTCGGTCGGGATTCGAACCCGCCACCTGGGAATCCGTAGGCCGGCGCTCTCGCCTCGGAGCCACCGAGGCGGCTCTGTATTCCATGCTCGTTCTTTGCTCGCGAGCAAGAAACAGATGTGATAGAGCTTGCTGCAAGGCCTTGAATGCATCCTATTATTCATAGCAGTTTAACCCACTTTTCGATCGGCAAGCCTATAAATGCACACTAACATTTAATACATTTGGTGTATATTTACAAAGTGAAACGGTAAAAAAAACTCTTTGTGGCGCTTGGGGCAGAGTAAAACCACAAACTCTTGTTGCGGTTTTACTCTGCCCTAGCACCACAAAGAACTACTGAGCTTGCAAGAAGGAATTGGCGTCAACCTTCAGTTTGTTGTTAGCTGCTCGACTTGCGGAGACATCATCGCGACACGGCACTCACCATCAATTGGCAAGTCTCGACAGAACGAACTCGCAGTACGTCTCGGCGTTGTTGGAAGAGACTGTATCATCAGTTTCACAAAGCTCACAAATGTTTTCGAGGGCCTCAATGCTCCACCCTCGATGCACGTCAAGTCTTACCAGAAGATTGCAGCGAAAGTGCACTACGCAGCGATGAGTGACGCAATGAGGGCCGCTGCACAAGCCGTCAGGGATGTGCAACCGACCGGGGACCCGAGCGCCGGCAGCGATCGTTTAGATGTCTGCATCAGCTACGATAGCACGTGGCATAAACGTGGTCATACATCGCGGTTCCGAGTTGGCGTAGCGACTAAACTGGAGACCGGCTAGTAGCTTGACTTTTCGGTCCAAAGCAAGTATTGCAACGGGTGCGAGTTGAGCCCCAAGAAAGACAATGAACACTTCAAGGAGTTTTTCAATGAACCGGGAACCGCCATGCACATCTGGTCAAGTTCTGGTTTGGTCAAAAATAATTGTTCTGGTCCAGTTTTTGGTTTCGTTTCATTTAGACACCATAATGTTTTCCCTGGCATTTATTGCTTTCCAGGCCTGGCTGTCCAAAACCCTTTGGGAAGTGAGTCAGGTGTTCCGGGAAGTCCCCAACAAGCCGAAGAGAACTCGGCAGAGGTTGAGCAACAGTTGCGCCAGTGGTGTTCCACCCCTACAGAGGACGAGACCCCAAGCCCCTTGTCGTTGAAGCGGGATGCCACTCCTGAACCCTTAGAACCTGGGGCAGCCCCTTTGGATACCAGTAACACGGAGGCTGACTTCATGGACTCTGATGAGGGTATGTGTCCTGAGCCAGATCTGTTGGATGAAAACTACAGGCCAAACAACTCTCAACTCCAATGATAAACCAGACTCTTCAGACACCAGCATCTGATCCAACGACCCTGTGCACTCGGACGGTGGAACAGATGTCGAGAATGTGTCCACTGCAATTTTTCAGAAACCTGAACTCCATTTTATGAACAGGATTAAGCTAGGTCTAGCAATCTGGGAAACCTGCAATTATCTGGAACTTTTCTTCAACTGGAAAAGTTAGAGAAATATTAGGGAAACAGTCAAAAGGTTGCCTATATCAGAAAAAATGACCAATGAAAGTGGCACAGCAGTACCCAACGAAGCTTGAAAGTCACACATCGGCACAGCTGCACCCAATAATGTTCCCTGAAACATCATTAGATAGTGCAAGCCATTACCTGATTTAATTATTTAATTTATTTATTTGGATATACTACCAGTTTCTAAATGAAACTAGTAGGGTGGTTACATGGGTGTTTGTTATCACATATACAGTATATGGTGCAGTGGAGGAGCCTCTATAACTACATCTTATAAAACGCATGACGAGCACACTTGGTTATTCGGACCAGGTTGAAATAATGGCCACGGAATCGAAATGGTCTGGGAGAACCTGGAAAAGTCAATGAATATGAAAGGAGGAGCTTGGTAGATAACCCGGTTGTATGGAAAGAACTGCGAGAGATAATGGCAGAATAGAAAAAAATTTGAAGGGTGAAAAAAGAGCTGCTTTTGAAATTTCAAGACTATAATCTTTTTGGTTTATTCTTATTTTTTTAACAGTGAAGGGGTGTACAACGTGTCCTCAACAGCAGTGGACCCGATAAAGGAAAGAAAGTACCTGGTAACTCCATCCCAGCTACTGCTGTTTTCTGTTTGCGTCAACTGCCTGGCTCCAACACTGACGAAGCCACAAGTATGCCGTCGTCCTTTGTGTGTGTATGTATTTTTTTTTTCCTTCTATATCATGTCCTATGCTTGTTTTGAACGTCCTTTTCTGTCACAGCGAGCTCTACGTTGGTGAGCAGGGCCACAGCAAGCCAGCTGCTTGACGTGGTGATGGAGGCACTTATCGCCCTGCACATAATCCTCATGACCGGGACCAACGGTTTACGGGGCGAATGTGATGCGTACAGCCTGATCTCCGACCTGGCCATCATACTAGGATGGATTACACTTCATGCGGAAAGGTGGTGGTACTGACGCTGCCTCCCATTGCGCTGCATCACCGACGTGGAAGAAGCTGGCAGACACTAAACAGGGTGAATCACTGGATCACTCACTGCAGGAGCAGTAAGTGCGGAACTTTGCCGGTTCAACATTTTGCCACTAATTTCGTTACTCTACCGGTCATTCTAGGTGACACCAAGCCAGTGGAGATTCAGCAAACTTTCGTGGTGCAGCGGACGAAAGTGCGATTTGATATGTACGCTGGATATGTTGTTCTAGCTTTACTGAAATCATAGAATCACCAGAGGCTCGCGCAGTTTGATCAAATTATAACAACCATTTCTATTAGCGATACGCTGGCAGAGGACAGCAGGACTTGATCCACTGGAGCGCGGCTGGCATGGACACCGTCGTGGGCTCACTTTGTGTCGCCCTGCTGGGAGCTGCAAAAGCTCAAAGTACCACCCCCCCTTGGAGGAAGTTTGACTCGAACTGTCAAGGCTGGTTGGTATAGTAGCTACCAGCTGCGATACATACTTTTTTTATGGACAATCAAAGGTGAAATTTCGAAAGGGGGCCTTGATCGACAAAGCAGAATGTTTTTCTTTGTGGGCCTACAATTTTATTCAACTGTGTCAATCCCTAAGTGCTGTATTATTCTACTACCAAATGAAGTTTGCCAAAATGACTGCTTTTGTCAATTTTCACGTGAGCATTCCGAAAAAAGTTTACGTTATATTACCATTGAATTTAGCGTAGCTCTTTCGACTATAGTTGCAAACACCTGTAAAAAGTTTCAAATAGAATGACCTCGTAGGCGACAAAAAAAACCGCGACTGAATGTGCTTCCGCGAAGTCAGTTTCGGCAGTGCCACGGGCACACCAGATTGAGTTATGCCAGGGAACACCAGCGTTTTCTGTGAGGGGGAAGGTTTGCTTTCTGCATGCAAAGTCTCTCCTGAAGATCTTATCTTGCAACAGACTACATACAAATGCAAGCATAGTGTCTTAGTTTGGTGCCCCATGCTTCTAACTCCATGCGCTGCACCTCAAAACGGCTTTTGCAGGCTCGCAATTGCAGCATGTGCTTACTTAAACGAAAAGAAATGGCGGCGGCCAGATGCCCTGCTTGCAATACTGTATTGGAGGTTGCCACAAGATATTTGGTTACAGTAAAATACCAAGCATCTGTTCATTCCACAACATGAGCCCTCCCCTCACTTTGTACCATCTGGAAAATACACAAATGACATACCCTCAGATATTGTGGACCTAATAAGTGTACATCCCCAAGTTTCACGTGATTATCTCCATATCTTGAGAGGGCACTTAAGTAATCAAGTAACAAAACTTGAATTACATATACACAAAGCAAATATAAAAGCAAGGACATTTCTACGCACAGTGTAAGTTTTTGTTGAATGCAGAATAGTCTAAGCAATGTAAACAATGCACGAGTTATAAAATTGCAGGGATGCATAATGCATTGGGTGCTTGCTGTGCTTGTGGCACTGTTAAAAACTATCGATAGCCCAAATTGCGTTTTTCAAGCATTGTGAAAAACATTGGAGTATAGAAGTGCTATTTGCAGGCCCAAGTTTCAGCAGCTGGACTGCGTGCATCCTGAAGATCTTGAGAAACTCCACTGCTGAAATGAATGTCCCTGGAAGGGTGGCAGCTTCCCTGGTCATGGAGGAACCGCTACAGTTGAATCCTTTTGACTTTGCCACCCCCCACTGCAGCAGCGAGGTGCCACACAACTGCATATCTACTGCTCACAGCAGCGTGCCAGAGTCTGATGTAACATACTCTCCATCCCGCTCTGCCAAAGGTTTTGAGAGGACAATGGTTGTCCGATTGAAACCAAAACCATGGCTCTCTGCTCCGTGGTCAACTGGTTCCCCCAGCGTGCAATGTGCATAGTTTGTCGCATGAAGGGGTTTTTGAAAGTGGCCTATTAAGATGTGATAACTATTTTAAACTCTCCGGGTCGGTGTAGCATATACTTCGTCACAGTTAAGAAATAATTATTCATCTGAAAAAAATTATGAAACTCTTCAGGTCGGTATAAATAATAATGCATGTTTCTTGCAATTACAGCATGACATTTTTTCGTTGAAAACTTGCCATGTGGTGGATCGGTCTACTATATTGAATGTGGATCGTGGTGTACAATATTAAACGTAAACATTGAACATACAATATAAAATGGCATAAAGTGAAAAGCCATGAAGTGGCTTTTTAATTTTTAGGTGTGAAGAAAAAGATGGCGGCAGCAAGCAAATGAGCCGGCTTCCAAGAACTTCACATGCGGGTGCAGGCAACCACCAACCATTTCCACTGTTCGGCCAAAATGGAGCAGGCTACAGGAAACTGATTGTCGACGTGTGGCTCATTCTCCAGACACCTGCCATCAACAAACACACGGGCCATGGCGGGAGCTATCCCAGGTGTCTGCACAATGAGATACCAGAGAGCTCAAAAAAGCGAATGGATCCCAGTGGGTTTTTGTTCACCACCCTGAGCAAGCTCATTCAAATTCATGTCCTATCTGTAGACTCTCAGGCTAATGACCACCTAAAAAAAATCCCTGAGAACAAGCGGCTCCTGAAGGACGTTGGCCAGATGTCCCCCCTTGAGGCATTACAGTGTCCATCAATTTGGTCCCGAAGTCCCAAGCATTTCCTATGGCTGGAATGCGTGCAGGTAATATCAATATTTGTTTACACATATGTTTCATTATTTAAGCAATACCGTTCAGTTCATTGATTAAACCTAAAAACCTGAAATACATTTTGTCTGGTAATCAGGTGCAGTGATCTCTTGTGTGCATACACACATTTGTACCCCAAAAAGCGTTAATGATGCAAGCTCTCCATTATAACGAGACATAAATGCATGTAATTGCCTAATTCATCCCAAAAAATGCCATTTTATAGCAGGGTATCCAATCACGGTTTGCCCATGGCAGGTAGCAGTGGTTTTGCTGCCTGCCTGTCGAGCAGATCGCCCTTCCCTACAATGTATCATCCACCTCAATATTTTATTAACGGTGGACGAGTTGTCACCAATCTAGAATCTATACAATGCCCCTGATCGTTTTATTAGTCAGATGGCCACGGCATAAGGCATAAATACAAATCTCTGCAAAAAAAAAAAATCATTGCTGCATTGGTGAAAGAAGACCAAAAGTTGTTACACACATCAACTGCTGCCCCCCCCCCCCCCCTCAAAAATTATCAGATGACCACATCTCAAACATTTCTGGGGAGAACCCTGGTACCCATTGTAAGGGGGCGTTCGAATTACCAAGAAGTAGATAAAAGTGGCACGCTTACAAAATTGTTCGGTATTGGTCCTTTAAAAAACTTTAAGTTACATTTTACCAATTTAGTGGAAGGTAATATGTCTTTTTTAATATGTTAGGAGTACTGCAACTAGCCTCCACTTGCACATACATCACTATCATAATGTCCATGTTCAGGCTTATCAATTTAGTTTTGCCACACATACAAACATTCTTGGAAAACCATTCACTTATAAGAGAGTGCTACTTATTGGCCAAAATATATAGCACTTATTGCTGGCCATTTCATTTTCAATGAATAATCACCATACTGCAGGACCCAGCTTGCAATCCTGCACTACAATGAAAACTCTGACCACTACAAAGCTGTCACGCAACAGGGCAATCCACGTTTCACTGTGACCACATTGAAGGCACAGAAGGAACACGCCACAGCACGTGAAAAGAAAACGAATCCTACGCATGGTAAGTGTGGCTCCAAATCCAGGCTAAAGCCTTGCACAGTGCATAATAAAATGTTATCATGCACCTGCTTCAATTTCAGAGTATGTTGGAAAGCTAATCCAGGAAATGATGGCCAGCAACAAGCAGTACACATTCCTCAATGAGGTAGCAATGACCAACAAGCACTTCTTTTCGGCGCCCACGCTTGCCACCTTCACGAGGCCTTCTAAAAGGGAACTTGAAGAAGGTCCCGGTTCGGCCAGGATCCAAGTAAGTTTTGATGATGACAACTGAATCTAGGCGCCCTAAGTATCCCTAAAAACAAAAAAATAGTCATACGGTGATTATTTCTTCATTAGAAATGTAATTGGTGGTGACCAATGAAACCCCTCTCATTGGTCACCGCTTGCATATCAAAACGATCTCGGGCCAATGGCATTGAACGAAGTTCCTTCGCGCAGTAATCCCGAGGTAGCCGCACCGGCCGAACTTCTTTGTCATTTGAGCTTCGATCATGGCGGAGTTCTCTACGCTCGAGTACCTGACGCCGCTAGAGGTTGGAATTCTTCGGCAGACAGCCAACCTGGGGATGATTTCCTATGACGCCACTCCGAAGTGCAATGTGGACGATAGCAGCGCTTCGGAGTCGTGTTCGTGTTCTGAGGACGAGCAGGCGGCCATGTTCGAGGACGAAGAAGGCGTCCTCGAGGAGACAGGGCGGATCGGCAACACCGACTGGTGGGTGATACGCTGTTTATTTTACCACTGTATGTGTCATTTACGCCTGCTCTCTTTTTTTTTTCTCAAAGGTGCCATGCGGATGCTGCGCGCAGATGCCGACAGCTGACGAGTGCGTCTGCTGCCGCGAGTACCCAGCCGCAGCCTCGAGGCAACCCGACTGCCTAACAGGCAACCCGCATTTCGAGACAGTGTGCTTGAATCCGGGGGTGCTGGAGGTGACCTACCTCACGATCCGCACTCTACCGCCACGAGGGAATGGGCATAACAACGCACGAGTGAGTTCAACGCCGTAATTTGCTGTTCGGCGAACTTGCAAACGGGCGCCAGCAGTAAAACGTTATCCGTTTCAGTGAGCGTTATGCACGTTACTTTTCAATGTGAAGTCGCATTAGTGGTTGCATCGCATGTTTTACTTGCGTTTCGTGCCATGTTTCTTTGTGAAGTTGTATGTCATCAGAAAGTAAAATGTTCAAAACCTCGATTGCTGCATCAGTATCTCTTGCTTCAGAACGAGTTTCTGAGAGCTGGTTAGTTCCAGTTTAGCCTACCCCTAATATTACGTTCACACTATGCACCCAACGAGCATAACTTTTGCAACAAACATCAGCGCAACGTGCATAAACGCTACGTTCAGGGTACACTGTTGAACGCAGCGTTCACACCCATTGGAGTAGTGCGCTCAAGTTTTACCTCTGACTGCTGCGCCACTCGACCCCCCGTGGGATGCCTCCGAAGTTTTGGTACAGCCATTTTCTCCTCAGTAGCAGCGACAGCAGTGGTAGCAGCTAGATTGACACAATCTGGAACTTGCTCTGCTCCTCGGGTTATTTTAAATAGGTTGCTGCTCGAGGCACGAGGGCACGTTGCAGCACTTTTTTAGAGCGCAGCTCTTAGGGGCCCGTTTCCGGCTTGAGCGGCGTCGCCGTCGGCGTAACCGCGCGGTGCATCATGGGAAATATCCCATAATGCACCGCGCGAGCCCCCCATCGGGGTCACGTGACTTCGTGGGGAGGCACGTGACCCCCCCCCCCCCCCCAAGGTCACGTGACCCCCCGAAGTCACGTGACTCCCCTGAGGTCACGTGACCCCTCCTCGAGGTAACGTGACCCCCCGAGGTCACGTGACCCCCGCCGATGTCGCGTGACCCCCCGATGACGTCATCGACACTGATGACGTCACCGGCATCCACATCGTCATCATCAGTGATGACGATGACGATGCGGATGCCGGTGACGTCATAAGTGATGATGACGATGACGATGTGGATGCTGGTGACGCCATCAGTGATGATGACGATGACGATGTGGATGCCGGTGACGTCATCAGTGATGATGACATCAATGATGATGACGTCATCAGTGACGATGACGATGTGGATGCCGGTGACGTCATCAGTGATGATGACGATGTGGATGCCGGTGACGTCATCAGTGATGACGTCATCAGTGATGATGACGATGACGATGCGGATGCCGGTGACGTCATCAGTGATGATGACGATGTGGATGCCGGTGACATCATCAGTGATGATGACGATGACGATGTGGATGCCGGTGACGTCATCGGTGATGATGACGATGACGATGTGGATGCCGGTGACGTTACCGACATCCGCATCGTCATCGTCACTGATGACGAAATCAGTGACGTCATTGATGTCGTCACCGGCATCCGCATCGTCATCGTCACTGATGACGTCGTCAGCGACGTCACTGATGACGTCACCGACATTCGCATCGTCATCATCACTGGTGAAGTCATCAGTGACGTCACTAATGACGTCATCAGTGACGTCAGTGATGACATCATCGGCATTGGGGGTCAGGTGACCCCCCAAGGTCACGTAACCCCCCCCTGGTTAGTCTAACCCCCCCCCAGCGCCCTTCCCTCCTCCTCCTCAAGAGCTGCGCTCCAATTCGGCGTTACAGGGAGTTGTAAGCGGCTTTCACTTTTTTGTCTCTGCTCATAGAGGCCAGAATCTGCAGTTCTAAAAGGTTGTGGTATTGCATCTTACAGAAAATTATTGTGGTTATTTTTTCTGGTGTTACCGCTATGCCGCCTACCGCCAGTGCGTCCTGTGGCTGTGGCGGTGACTTGGCCAGCACAACAGGCGACCCCTGCCATCCTATGCGGTCTATAGAAGTCAAATTATGAGTGGTAGAACTAAAATATGTAGATAATTTTAGTTAAGTAGACACAATTCCGAGGAAAGAAGAAGGCGTTCAACAAAAGTCCCTCTGCGATCCAATCTGCCACTCCCCTACAGGGATGCACTAAAATCTCCAGGAAAGTCCTGAATCAGCCGAGAAGCACTTTAAGTTTAAAATTCTTCTTAAAGGACCACAAGCCGGAAATGCCGTTCCGCACGGTTATTAATGAGAACGGAACGTGCAAAGCATGGTTTCGAAGTTTCTTCAAAAAAGTTTAGACTTCGCTAGATTGGAAAACAGTCTTTCGTTAAGAAACTCAGACGATTTTGTTGAGATTTTGGATGCTCACCATGGGAGGCAATGCTCGTTGATCTCGATGGACATTAAAGATCTGTACTATTCTCTTGAAAAACAGCTGTTGATGAGTAGGGTTAGAGAGGCTTTGGAGCGTAATTTGGTAAAATTTCAATCAGGTACGGGGATTCCGGTAGATAGTTTTTTGGCAGAAATTTATTTAAACTCTTTGGATAACGCGATCTCGGAAAGGCTGGCAGTTTGGGGGTCGGGTGAAGTTTTAGTGAGAAGGTATGTTGATGACATTGTGGTCATGAGCTTTCATGGGAAGGATACGGGAGCAATAGAGAGTCTGGTGAGAGCCTCAGCACCGGAACTTACCTTTACTGTTGAAGGGCCAGACAGAGGAGTTTCGCAGTTTTTAGATTTACGTATTCACGTGCAAGAAGGAGTGTGCTGAGAGTACGGAAAAGAATCGGCAAAGCCAGTTTTAAGTAGAAGAAGCTGCCATTGAAAGACTGTGAAGGCTGGGGTGGTCAAATCAATAATCGGAAACGCTCTAAAGAAGTCATGTCTTCATTATGTAGGCCAAGCCCTCAAAAGGCAGTGGGTGAGGTTAGAGGATGCGGGTTATGATAAAGTTTTCATCACGAGGCAGCTCTCCCCAAGTTTCGGCGAGAGAAATGGAACAACGAGAGAAAGAAGTAAAAAGGTTGCCGTAGTCCCGTACTACCACAGTGCTTCGCATAACCTTAAAGCGAGTGCTCACAGATTTGGAGTTGACGTAGTGTTTTCATCTGATTACAAATTAAACAGGATGACTCCGTTCTTTGCACCTCCAAAGGAATGCAGAAGGCAACATCAGGACAGGTCAGTGGCTTGCAAAGGAGGTGTAGTCTATGAGATACCCTTAGCATGTGGTTTTAGATATGTGGGGCAAACTTCGCGGTGCTTGAATGACAGACTGACCGAGCATAAAAGAAACGTAAAAAACGGGGCACCGAACTCGGAGATCGCCAAGCACGTGTCCGAGTGCAACAATTGTAAGGTGTTTTGGTCGGAAACTAATCTTTGTAAAAATCCCTAAACATGCCTCCGAAAACAACTGTGACCTAAATTGCGGATTCTTTTGTGAGTCGACTACGTTTAGTATCGCTTTTAAAATAATACCATGTGTAGAACCTTTCATTGCCTTCCAAATTAAGCAAAGTTTCTGCCTTTATCATGTATGAGTACTGAAAAATAAATTATGAAACAGAGAAGTTTTTACTTTTTGTTAAATTTAAGCACACTGTAAAAAAAAAACAATTTTTATTTTAAATTTTTTTTATGTCGCGTTGTTTTTACACTTTTTTTAGCCAGCATACATTCCATTAGAGGTATATGCACTAAATTTGAGTTTTAAGCCTCTAAATGTGCTAAAAAAAGAGCCAACACTGATGGTTTCAATCACATAAAAATGCGCTTCGTGTTGGCAGTGCACCAGCCAACATGTACCTTGCCTCCCCGTTCTGTGCGAGCTCGGTCTGGGCAAGCGTGTACTGCCAGAGGCCTGCTGGCCACACAGCAGCAGCAGCTGGCCACACAGCAGCAGCAGCTGGCAACCCACACAGTAGGGCATCCTTGCAGCACAGGAAGAAGTGCCGTGATTGCAAAGGGGTGCAACCAAGGCGCTCGCTTGCCTAGCAAGTGTATTTTTTTCTGTTCGGAGACCTTAATCTCAGCAAAGCTCTCAGTTTGTGACAATGTTTGCAGGCAACAGGCATCTATCTAACCTAAGGTTTGTGATGGTATTCTTTTTGTCTATCCTTTCATTGTCGTTTAAACTTGAGCTTATCTGCGTTTTGCTGAGTGATCAGTGAGAACCGTGAGGACAATCTGCAATTTCTGGATATTATTATTACAAAAAATACTTAATTGGGGCTATGATGTAGGCAATAATATTTCGCGCCTGCTAATATTTTAAAGTAAAGTTCTTTGCAGAAATGCTGCTCAAGAAGTGCTTGAGCCCTCTACGGGCAGGCAGCCCTGATCTACAACATCCACTTGCTGCTGCACCTGGCCAACATTGTTTGACGCATGGGGCCGCTCTGGGCCAACTTGGCATTTACATCCGAGTCTGGCGACGGCCAGCTTTTGCATTGCATGTGACGGCAGCCAAGGGCGTCCTTGGGGAAGTGATTGAGCGCGCGGTGATGGCCTACGAGCAGGACCTTGTACTGAGCCATCCGCTCTAAGACATAAGCTCTAAGACACTAAAGTCTTCTGTAGAAAGATGTTGGGCTATGCCACATCAAGAAGGCATCTTACTTGCCTGGGGCCTACCTATTGGGCAGTGTCAAGCCTGGACTTGACTTTTCTCAGGCTGAGGTCCCTGTCCTACAGGAAACTCTTGGCTTCTACCCATTACCAGTGATGGATCATGTACGGCTGATCCTGGGAAGGCAGCTGTGCCATAGCATGAAGTACACATAAGCAAAGAGGAGAAATTCTTCGATCATCCAAAGCAAGGATGGTTGGTTCAGTGGAATTTGGAGAGTACTTTCTCTACAAGGTGAGGATGCGTGTCCCAGGTAAAAATTCAAAGTGGTTGTACAAGTGGTCCCACTTTAGTTCAAGTGGTCCCACTTAACTTGCAAGTGGTGCCACTTTACTTGTAAGTGGTACCACTTTAATTCAAAGTGGTACCACTTGGGTTCATATCGACCACTTGTGTACCACCACTTTAATTCAAAGTGGTACCACTTGGGTTCACATTGCCCACTTGCATCACACCACTTTAGCCATGTGGTCCCACTTGGAGCCCAAAGTGGTCTGGATTAGACCACTTTGACTTCAGAGTACCAGTTTAAAGGAAAACTGAAGCGGTTCTATATTTGAGGAAAAACACTTAAATCGTCTTAACTTGGCCTTCAGGAACACGAATATCTAGATTATTTTTCAATTTGGCTCACAGAGGCTGCACAAAATCATTTTCAAAGTACCGCTGTTCGATGCCCCTCCTCCCTGGGGCGCGACATTACATATCAAGAGTTTTTGGAATCGCCGCTCTCGCACATCTTCAGCGCTTATCAAAGCTGTGCACGCGCACTCTTGCCATTTTCAAAAAGGTCATCACGACTGGTGTCAGTGTAGGGGAATTTACCTGGTAAGCTTGCAATTGCACACGAGCTACACACTTTTGGTGGTCGAAAGATCCTAGTATGATGTAACGACTGGTTGGAGGTTTTTTGTTTAGTTACAACTTCAGGAAAACAAACACGATATTCAGATTCACAGGATGAAAATATGCCAGAATTTACCTCTAACTCATTTTTTACGAACCTCTTCAGAGCACCCCTTTAACTGGTCAATGATGAAATACCATTTGGATATTTGGGTGTCAATTGGCAGATCAAAACTTTCTTGACCATGTGGTGACATCACTCATAGTAACCTTGGATCCTGTGGCAATTTGTATA